ATATGTGAAAGTGATGATTCACACCCACACCCACACCCCTTCACACCCACACCCGACCCACACCCACACCCACACCCACACCCTCCATCGAAAGCATATGTATAGTAAAATGCATTGTTTGTAAATCAAGAAGCTTTTGTACTTTATACAAAAATCAGATATGAATATCTGATTTGATTTAATTAACGAAACAAGAAAACAAAAACGAAATGTGAAAGCAAAATAAACAAATATGAAAAGGTGAGCTGTAATTGCGAGTATAAAAGTCGATGTACATAATTAGAAGTAATGACCTAATTATCGTGACTTATGCTTATATGAACGATAATCAACATCTTGATTTTTAATATTATCAAATTCAGTTATAATCTGTTGACATATGTCAGGTGAAAAACCTGTTATAGTCGATGCAGTTTTAGCAGCTTGTTTAATATCATTATTGTAATGTTGTTTTGTTTTGTCATTAGAAATAGTTGATGATAATGAACCAAGACCAAGTGTATTAACAGAATATGTTTCGAGTCCTTTATTGATTAATGTTTCGTTCCTTATATTAGCATAAATACCACGACAAAACCAAGTCAATGATGATAGAGTTCCAACAGCAGGTTTGAATAAACCATTCGTAATACCTACTATTAATCCAGCAATACGACCTAATTCTCCATGACATTCATAACCAATACGTGGTGTATTGACAATATCTGTAATACCACCTTTCCAACCATGAATAAGAGCGAGAATAGCTGCATTAATACCACTATCGAAATCAACCACATATGGTCGTGAACGATAAGAAGATTCACTGAAAAATGAAATATTCTTATTATCATTTTTGATAATTACTTATATTGAATTAAATCGATTAGATTTTCTATCATATGAAATAAATAAACTTACTTGTAAGGATCATAATATGATGGAGCAGCGTCCAATACATCCGTCAATTCTCCAAATAGAGATAAACAACCTATACTTAAATGACCAATACCTTTACTCAAGCCTAGAAGAACACCTTCGACAACATTATATGTACTCTTTGTCCATGTATCAGAATGTATGGCTTGTTTAAAACCAGTAGTTATATCAGAACATATTTGTACAACAGCTTTTTGTGTATGTTTTAAAATACCATGAAATGGTAGATGAATACGATTATCAAACATTGAAGGCCAATAACGAGTTGAATGAATATATAATTGTGTTGGTTTAATACGGCCTGATATAACAAGTACTTGAGCAACACGTCGTGATATTTGTAAATGAAATTTTTCTAATCGATAACATGCTGTATAAGTTGATTCAAGATCACTTCGCATTTGTGATACAGGTAAATTAGTATGAAATGCATGTAGTGCTTCATCACATCCATTTTCTTTTAATATAGCATCACGTATACGTTCAGCAGCATCTCGAACTTTTGGTTCATGAACAAATTCAAAAGCTTCAGCTAAATCATCAGCAGTTAGATTTTTTCCTGGTAATGCACGAGGACCAACACCATTCTTTTCAATAACATTACCCCAAAAGAATTGATCACCAAAAAACGGTACAATAATAGTTGGTTTACCTGCACGAAGACCAGCAGCAGTTGTACCTGCTCCACCATGATGACATACAGCTGATACTAAGAATAGAAAGCTGTTAGCACAAATCTCTGTGAAATTAAATTTATCATCCGAGCCTATTCCTCTTGTTTCATAAACATAATGTTGGACATTTATCTCAAATCTAGTGTCCGTAATAACCTTAAAATCGCGTCGGTTTACGCAGTTTACTTTTCATCAAAGTTTTTGATAAGCGAGAAATATTGTTACATAATCAATGAGTGAGACTGATTTATCAATCGTTATACATGTATACCTACTTGACGTTCTCCTTTCTTTTTCTTTTATTCTTTCTGTTCTGCTTCGAGTTTTCTTTTTCGTCAATGTACCGGCTCCTCTTCTTTTCTCGATTAATTTAAGGACACTTTTTCTCATATACATCTTTCTGCAAGGAAGAAAATGATTCAGGATTTCCCTTGTTCTTCTTGTTGCATAAATTCTTTAATTTTACTTAATAAACTATTGATTCGTTTCGTTTTGCTTGGTCAAAAAAAAATATATACAGGGTGATCCAAAAGTCTTGGTACCTCTCAGAAAAGTTACTGTTTCTCCCTTATTACAAATCCAAAAACGCTCAAACTTTGGCATTTTATTTATTGAAACTAGACGAGTATTACCTTAAATTTTCGTATCTCTAGCCTGAATAATAAGGAAGATACATAATTCATATTGTAGAGAAGTTTTTTTTCCCAAGCTGGAAAATCCAAAAAATAGCAAGCATTTGTATGAAAACATAGAAAGAAGAAATGTAAGAATGAAGACATCAAAATGGAGATATATTGTAAAAGTTATGCTTGTATAGTATATTTATAAGTTTATGTTCAATTTTGATGAAGATTGCCCATCATTTATTTTTGATAAATTTTTTCCAACATTTTTCTATTTCGCGCCTTTTCTTTCAACACTTTCATTTTAACATTTTTCTTATCGAACTTTTACTTTTCGACGTTTTTCTTTCATTCTATCATATTTAATGAACATCTGTCGCCGAAATGTAAAACAATTAAAGAGCAAATTTTGACAGTACACGATTCGCAAATGTACTGAAAATTGATTTATTCAACATTAAGACAATTGAAATATCTAGTTGATAAACAAGGGTATCTGATTAATAAAGACGACTATAGTAATATGAAAATACAAAAGGCTGTATTGTTTGTAATTATATTTGGAGCGAAAATCAATAAATGTGAATACTACCTTAAAGTAAAAATGTTGATTTTTCGATTTTACGGCCTGATTAAAAAAAACTTCTTTACAATATAAATTATGTATCTCCCTTGTTATTCAGGCTAGAGATACGAAAATTTAGGGTAATACTCATCTAGTTCCAATAAATTAAATGCCAAAGTTTGAGCGTTTTTGGATTTGTAATAAGGGAGAAACAGTAACTTTTCTGAGAGGTACCAAGACTTTTGGATCACCCTGTATATATTCTATCTAACTAATACTCCCGCAGGATTGGAAGCTCACAATAATAAAACAATTTTGAAGAAATTTAAGCAAAAATCCTACTTATTGAACTTTAGAGCTCAGATATATATTCAATATGTTTGTAATTGAACTCACCGTGTGGAAAAAGCCAATCATGTGAAACATTACCAATTTTCAAGACATTTTTCGGTAATTTATCATCATCTTTAGCAAGACCAGATAATACGGCACGGTAGCCAGTTTTCTTAAGTGCTTCAAGTATGACTTGAAGAATACGTTCAGAATCATGTCCTGTTATGGAACCAAAACCAATATAGATTATTGGTGATAATGATTCTTTATGATGATAATGATTATTATTAAGGCCAAGAAATTCCACTAGATCATCAGGTTGTTTTGTATCAGCAGTAGCATCATGATCAAGAAAGAAAAATCCTGATACATTAATATGTGATGCCCAATCATCGGGTTTAGGAACTAGTGATGGTGACCAACAATATGTATAAGGTACACGTTCATCAATCATCATATATGTTGCTTGACGTGTATGTAATGCTGGTAAACCTAATGTTTCATTACGAAAATCATTCACAATATCACGCATACTCGACCAAGTCTATTAAAAAAAAATGAAATAAAAAAAATCATATTTTAAGTATGTCTTTCATTTGCTTACAAACATTTCGATAGCACTATAGGATAACATATTAACTTTTTCTGTAGATGCTTTCGAATAATCAACATTAACTAACGGATGTGGAAAAGCAGTTGTTGGTGACCATGGCATTGTAAACATAATATGTAGAGGAATTTGTAATTTTTGTGCACAATGTATATGACCAAATGATGGTGGATTAGCAATAATAGCTTCAGCTGTAAATGATCGTCCTGTTTCATCATCTTCAACAGTGCAAGCACGCCATGTTGAAGCAAGAATTTCCGTTAAAATACTACGACTTTTTATTAGATCACCTGCAGCAATACTACTTACGGAAGGAATAATACCTGAATTTTTCACCATAAAAGACATTAATTCAGCTGGATCACCAGCTAATGGAAAAAATTCTAGACCATTTCCACGAACAAATTTACGAAATGTTTCATGTGTAGCTAAACGAATACGATGACCAGCTGCTAAAAGTACCTGACCAAGACTAAAAAAAAAAAAAGAAGAAGAATATTATTTTATTAGTTTAATTATTGCATGAATATGATGGCTCACGCAATGAATGGTTGAACATCACCTCTTGTACCAACAATTAGTAGTACGATGTCGATATGTGGTATTGCAACAACATTTTGACTTGTTCTTATTGGCATTACTCGTTTTCTGTTCACTGAGTAAAAGAAAGAAAAAAGAAATACTCGTTGATTCTCTTTCTTCGATCACGTGTAGTATCACGACTCTTTTTTTTTGTTGTTCTTTCAAAAAGAAAAAAAAATGAGTGTATTTGCTTGATGCTTGTCCTTGAGTTTTAACAATACATCTCTTGTGTATCGTCATCAAGAATTATTAATGAAAGGTAAACATGTGACAAATTTTTTTCTTCGTCATACAAAATTATTGGAAGCAAAAACACGATGGTTTAATTTAAATGATAGTTCGTTTAGAAAAGGTTATTGAGTACATTGAAAATTCAGCTTACTGTTTCAACTATTGATTATGTTAAAAACGTTCATTAATCTATGATTTATTTCTATCTAAAAATCTATCAAGCAAAATCATATTGTGTTACGCAAAACGATGTAAAAAATGTGTTCAATTATTATAGAAAATCGAATCTCATCTGCATATAACTAAATTGCTAGAAAGAATAATAAATAAGAAAACAAGTCAGTTTTTTTTTTTTTAATACAACCAAATCTTATTTATTGCTCATAGAATATTCGATTATTTTTCTTATGTTTTTAATACATATCTTGTTTTCGTAAATTTACATACCTGTGTTGTTGATTATAGGCAAATGAAGAAGAAAAGCAAACTTAGAATAGATCGAAGAGTACAACTCTATTCAACATTCGAACGATCGTGTCTACACCTAAAGCGATCAATACGTGATTTGTACAATGATGTATCGTTCTTTATTTGATGAAATTTGAATAAAGTAAATCATAGTTCTGTGTTGAAAGATCATGCTTTTTTGAACGTCATAGATAAACAGAATTCTAGGTTAATTGATGATAGAATGTCAATAATACAAAAGATAATTTGTTCGTGCATTTGTCGACGAGCGGTTCTTCCAGAACGTTTATCAATAGAAAATTGTTTTTTTTTCTGATAACATATTTCGCTATATTATGAAAAGTTTAGAAAAAAAAAACATTAAGTCAATAGATCATTAAATGGGCCTATTTATGCTTGCTTTTTAACGTATAAAAATGTTCATTTTTTATCTTGTTATTATATCAACTCTGTTAGACATCACTTGAAAGAAAAACACCATAATAATAATATTACGAATACATTAGCATATAAAATAGTTTACTTTCGCAAAGCTTTCATTTATGTCATATAAAAGAAAAGAACTTTTGACTACATATTAGAATTGCAAACAAAATATTGATATTATTTAACATAGATTGAATTAGTGTTCTCGTCAAGTTTGAATAAAAATCAAATGACATTTAACTGAAGTCTATACAACGCTGCCTCCGTGAGATATTTTCTTATACATCCATCTTTGAATCTTGCTATCCTTGCACGGAGGTCTGAATCTAATTATTAACAGAAAATGATATTATAGCGATTAAATGTGTTGTGAAATTCGATATATTAGTTACAACACTGAATATATTATTGGCATTGATAATTTGATGAATCTATTTAATATATTTTCTAATTGGATATCGATTTGTAAATATGAACGCTTTTCTTCTGGAAGGAATGAACAAATCATGATGCAAGCTGGTGAAAAAAGTGTAACAACAACGTAATTTTGATTCTTTTTTTCTATTATGTTAAGTAGTTTACATTTAGATAGTGATTTTAATAGCTAATGCAGTTTTCTATCTAATAGATTCATCGATGAACTCTGATGGCAAGGTTTCCAAAAAAAAATGAACACGGTGGTTTTCGGGCTGTAGAAGATACTGTCGGAACTATTTTAAAAAGTTAAAAGTCTTATTAGTGCTTTGTACGTAAATTCCGTCTTTTTTTCTACGGTTTTTGTGATAAATTTTAACTTTTTAAGGGAAGATTGTAGAGAATGCGATAACTTCTCATTTTGTGTTCTTTAAAATGGCATTATTAAAAAATAGTTTCTACAATGTCTTCTTGGATCAAAAAACTATCGTGTACGGTTTTTTTTAGAAACCTTGCCATCATAATTCATCTATGAATGTACTATTATATAGAAAACTTCATTGCTTATTCAAATCACTATCTTGATGTGCTTAAAATAACAAACAAAAACAATCAAAAGTGCGTTTTTCTAAAGTTTTTCCCACTAGGGTGTGCGTCTATCATTCTTCTCTTATCCACACCTACCCTAATGTTCCAACAAAGATTCCACGAGCTTCCATACTATATAGGAAAAGCAATTCATTGCAATTCCAAATAGATAGAAATGTGAAACATGAGAAACCTGTTTTTTGCATGAACATGAAAATGCTTGTTATATTCTTTTTGATCCTCAGAAGGTCAATTGAAAAACATCTCCAAGTGTTTCAGATGACTTGCCTGTAACCGTGACGAACATAACTCATTAGAAGAGAAAAATAGATTACTTTTAGTTTTTGAATTTCGAATCGATGCGAGTTCAAAAAGTCGAGAAATTTTGTGTCGAAAATTCACAAACCGTAAGACAGATGGTCCGAAAGATTCAAAAAGGCTTTTATAGTATGCCTGTCACGGTCTGTGGGGATGGTTCAAATCAAGAAAAAATTTAGAATTTAACATTTCAATAATACAGATCTGTTCAGTCTAGAATATTATGATAATTGTTCACTCGTCGTTAAGACTATCTTTTATTAACGTTTGTCGACACTTCCAGTCGTTGTGATGTGTATCGACTTAGCTGGAACCTTGTGTGGCAGCGATTGGATTACTTCAACAAGCGAATTGTTCTATAAAAAAGTTGAAGAACCAATACTCTCATGTGTACTAGCACGATAAAGACTTTCTGAAAATGTATCCAAAGTCATGACTGTGTCACATCCCATTGATTACATATTCGCCAATGTGTCATTATCATTCACAGTGATAAAATCACCACCAAGTATTGCATAAACTTTCTTCCATCGTTCTTTTGTTTGCTGTAATTGTTTTCGTTTATTTCGAATGAACGTGTCTTTAGCCAGATGTGTATCAACAAAATCATTTTGCTTAATAGGCAATTGTCTTAAACAATATCCTATACCACTACATGCGTCAAAAACACATCCAGCACGTAAAAATAATGCTGCATAATCAATAAAACGTTTGGCTAACAATTTCCAATAGGCATGTATACTGACTAATATATCTTGTACTGTTTGATTATCATTAGACATCGAGTCAAACATTCGTACATTATCATGATCTGTTCTCGACGAAGAACTCTTCTTTTTTGTTGCATTTTCCGTTCGTTTGTCTACTAAATGTTCTTTAAATTTAATAATTGTATCATATAATAATTATTCAATGTATACGGATCATGTTTTTCTAATCGAATAAGTTCTTTAAGTTGATCATTTACTGTTTGTTTCTTATCATTCAAATACGAAATATCAATATGACGAAAAATTGGCAACAATTTTAATAGTAAAATATCATCATGACATTCTTTACGATCATTTTCCCGTAAAATATTCATTGTTTTCTGAAAAAACATTCGGTGATGCACGTAAACGTGAAAAAGAATTTTTTCGTGATCATTCCATTTCAACTCTTGTCGGATCACATTGTCTTGGTATTGATGCATTAATTAATCGTTTAGTTGATTTATATTCTGATCGTGTGCGTGAAATCTTTCCGAAAATAAAAAATGATATGCAAAAAAAATTAAAAGAAACCCGTGAACAATTAGAAAAACTTCCACCGAGTTTAGAAACTGTTTCAGCACGATTAACAAAATACTATGAATTAGCTGAATTTTATATTGAAAAGATTCTCAAACAACGTTTTACAAGTTCCAACGATGGTCGACATCCTGTTAGTTTAGTAGATCATGTACACGTACATATGAAATTGAAACAATTTGAAAATATTATTCTTGGTCAAAGTCGTGAATTATTTACAGGAAAATATCGTGTAAAAGTACGAGATGCTATGTCAGCATGTTTTGGTGAGTAGCTACCAAATTTTCTTCCACATCCTGTTCTAAAACGTTTAATAGGGGAAAAACTTGATCAACTTTGGTCGCTAGCAAATTTACTCATCATCGAGAGAAATTCGTTCATCGGTACTTCGATTACGAACAGCAATAAAACCTAATTTTAATTGAAATACATCCGTTTTTCCATCAGTAATTGTTGAGCTAATGCAGTATTGTCCGAAGCAAGATCTGATTTTGTTATAACACCGATTGTTCGACTACCTTCAGAATCGAATTCACGTGCTAATATGAATGATTCAACAGTGGCGATATCGACATTTGTTGGAAAGACACATAGAATAACACTGCTTTCTTGACGAATAAATTGACGAATCAAATTGGTTGTTTGCTTATGAATGTCATGTGGTTGATCGGCAATAGGATTTCGGGCTATGCCAAGTGAATCGACCATAGTTAAATCACGTACATTTGGATCTTCGACTTGTAATTCGATTAAATCGTGAACAACATTTTTATGACTACCAGCTAATTTTTTTGTTTCTTCTTCGACATAATGAAAGATATTTAATTTCGATTCATCCAATGAAGTTTTCGATTATCATTATATAAATAATAGACTCGTCGTTCATTGGCTTTACGTAATCGTAAAACGACTGGACATCTTGTAACAATACCAGAGCCTTTTGGAAAGTCAACTAAGGACAATGCTTCTAATAGTGTTGATTTGTCACTGGACTGATCACCAACTACGACCACATTGGGAAAAATAATGCCATCATTACTCGATTATAAAATGGCTCGAGCTTGATCTATTTTGTCCATCAGAGGACGAATTTTTTCATCATATGCATTTACAAATGTATCCATCGTTGTTGACTTCGTATTCTCGACTATAAAGGCAAAAAATGAAAATATGAGTAGAAATTCCCCAGATGTACTTCACTAAGTGCCTCAATTGATATGGCGGATCCGAACGAAAGAAATAGGGAAGACGCAGAAAAGTCGGAACCTCTTCAGAATTAGAAAATTCTTCGTTGATATCCAGGAATAGTGGTGCAATGTTGACATAATCGAACATTCAAGTATGTAACAATTCGCATTTATTGCGATACAGTTGTTGAATTCGTTGTCTCTAGAATTCAAAAACGGTTTCTAAATCGCCTCTAATGATCCAAGCTTCGGAAAACTTTAGTTCATTGAGTTTTTCCACTGTTTTTTTTAATAGGCTCATACTACGTCTACCTCAATTTGAATACATATATTCGATTTCTACATGCATTGCATGAAGAGAGGTTCACCTATTTAGGCTAGTGCAAAAATATTCAGAATTTAGTTGCTACGTAGACGTTCGAGTCTGTGTATCATTTAGCAATATCTTTCTGGCAACTTTTTTATTAAAACTTACCTCTAAATGAATCAATTGGTGATTTCGACGATCTACCAGAGCAGTATGTCAGATTTCTTTTTCTATTGTTGTTGCTGTAACAGCCTCTCCTATCTGATAGAAATGAGAAGAGAAAGCCTTCATTCGCTCCAGAAAAGATTTCCCTTTCAGTCAATAATTAAAGATGAACTGACGCTTGAATGTGATAGAAAAATTCTCATTACGAGAACTGAAGCTATTGAAAAATGAGAAGTATCATTCTCGTCATTTTCAAAGATTCTATTCTATAATGAATTTTTTCTTCCAACTAAAGTGCCAGTCCACTGTTATTCTTTCTTCGACAGGGATAATGGATTGTGCGTCAAAAAATCACTGCTGAGGCTTCTACATATGTGAAAAATCCTGGTTTTCTAGAATCCGAAAGAGTTTCAGAAGTTAGATCTCTAAGAATTCGCTTATGCAGTTATGTTCAAATCAATGCGGCTCTTGCTTCGTACCTCTCAATATCACAGCATTACAGTTGAAGATCAAATTAATCTGCGTTGTCCTTAACAGCCTAGTCCCTATACTTTTCTCTTGGCCATTTTTGAATTTCGCTCAGAAGGATAAATGCGAATTTCGAAAGTTTTATTACTAGCCTGTTGTTAATGACGAAAAGTATGAAACAACGAGATCTCCGTTTGTGAAATACTATTGTAGTTTGCTTGTTTCTGTTCAATCCAAATATTAGGACGAATATCTACAGAAACCTGTGAAGTTTCTGTAAGACCAAAAATGACGTCAGATCTGAATAGATTCATAAATACGCGTCGCATTTGTTACTGGTTTTTTTTGGGAAAAAACCCAATGAATAATTTTCTTTCTTCGTTCTACATATACAAATTCACCTACGTTTTTATTGACAACAAAAGCAAACAAAAAACAAGAGACACTGTAAAGCAAATATTTTTGTATTCCTATTGAAAAAAAACGTGTCTCAGATGAACGAGAGAAAAATCTTCGATTGGGGTGTGGGTGGGTGTGAGTATGGAGTAGGGCAGTAGAAAAATGGAGCATCTATACCGACACCCACACTCACACCCACACTCATAATTCAACGCTCAGTATCAATCGTGTTTCACTAAATCGCTTTCTAATACCATTTACACAGAAACGAAAAAAAAAACGAGGAGAAAAATAATACGAAAACGTCGTTTATTAAATCAAACACACTTGTTTTCACGTTATCGAAGCGTGATAGTTTTTTTTGAAAACGACGTGTTTTTAGGTAGTCGTGAAGAAACGGCATTTTTTGTTCATTTTTGATTGTCTGGACAAGCTTTAGTTATTCATAAATAAAATTACATTTTACACCATTGTTTTTTTGTTTCATTAATTCATTGAGATCAATACCTGAACAGCAACAACCTTTATCGTTGCATATGTGCCCTGAATACCACCATTGTGATTCAGTTAATAAACCAGGATGATTATCTGTAACACGTATCATTAGTCCTGTACAAACAATAGTAGAATTTGAATCACTGAAATCCATTATATCTTTATTTTTAGCATCAATAACCCATTCAATAACATCATTGGTTAGATTCGGATCAATTGTGACTTTTCCATCAACCCCTAATGTTTCAGGTCCTACTACTTTTATGTTATTCGGATGAACGCGACATTGTAATACAAATTGAACATATTTTCCACTTTTAAAAAAACTCTTTTCATCTGATGATTGAATTTGTTTGATTTCAGCATATCTTGGATGAGATGTGTAAATAATTGATTGACTTGCATATATTCCTTTACCCAGTGCTGCATTTCTAGCTGGTGTCAATCCACTCAACAAGATTGATAAACCATAAGCAAATTTTGTACCATGATAACAAAAAGACCACCCTTTAAACTTGTCATCATAATTATCGCTAACATCAAAAGCATGTCTTTTCCACCCAATGGGACAAAAATATGCATATTTACCACGATCTCGTCCATCCTGAAGAGCACCAGTCCAGTGTGTATGACCTACATCATATACTCGGTTCCACTGAGGATGAAGTTTAATCTCACTGCGAAACTTTTGTTTAACATTTAATGCCTTAATATTACCCATGAACATAAAGAATACTTTTAATTTGGCCAGTTCTTCTTGTACTTTCTCTGTCAATGATTTATATATTTTGTTGAGTGTCAGTTTAATATCGACTTTTTTCCCATCAATTAGTATTTCTAATATACTTGAGCCGTTCTGTAATTTTGTAATTTGTATGTCATTTGGATTTATATTCAGACTGCTACAAATTTTATTCAAAAACTCTTGTACATTGAATGTATTATAATCTTCGTTTCAGAAATTAACTTGCCTGATGAACCTTTGTCGTCGGAAGAAAAGTCGTTTTATATTCAGACTGCTACAAATTTTATTCAAAAACTCTTGTACATTGAATGTATTATAATCTTCGTCGATACCAAATTTGAGCGANGGTAGCCAACCACGAAAAGCAAATAGATCTCAGGAAATGTTTCGTCTATCGGACTTTGTAGAGCTCTCTTTGTCGATCATTTTAATAAAAAAGGTTTTTTAAATTTGATAAATAAATGACGGTGCTAGAGTCAAAATACTGAAAAAAAATCATAGCTCTAGCAGACAGAGCTGTCTCATTGTTTCAGTATTTCTACCCTGGCACCGTCATTTATTTGTCAAATTTAAGAAATCTTTCTATCAAAATGATCGGCAAGGAGAGCTCTACAAATTCTGACAGACGAAAAAATTTTCTGAGAACCTTTTGTTTTCATAGCCGACTAACCACTGTACAAATGTAGTGAGATCCACCAGTGGGTCTCATCGGGTTGAATGGGTTAAAAAGGGGTGCTGTGATTATGTTGACAATAGAAACGGAATATATCGACAGATTGACTTGAAATTTTGGATCTATGTACTAGAGACTATGGGGTACAATGTGGCAAAAACAAGTCCATTCTAGCTTATTTAGCTTTTGAGATATGAACAAAACAAAAAAATTCACTGAGGTGGTTGATCAATTTTGGTATCTACTGTATATAAGGAACCGAGGATAGATATAGGAGGTTAAATATAGAAATTAGAGGTTACAGATAGGTATAAGGGACCAGAAATTGGTGTAGTAAAATATGAAATATATTGCTGTGAATATTTAGTGAGAATGCTAAATGATTATAAATAGATCAACAGGTTTATAGGTACGCATCGAATGGTAAGACAAAAATATAGGTAGATTAAATAGGTGTTTGAGCATAGATGGATAAACGGAATCTTATTCTATGGAGCATAATAGAAAAACTCATACATCAAAAACTTTTCTCAAGAAATTAAAAAAATACTCGTCTGAAACCTGTTCGTATGAAACTTTAAAGAGTTTTGATTCGACTGCAAAAAATCAAAACTCTTTAGGGTTTTGTATGGTACCTTTTTTCTTAGTGAGGATCAACCATCTCGGCACCATGTTTACGACAAAGTTCAATAACAGATCTATAATATTGGATTGAGGGTTGAGAATAATCTTGTTTACAATTTTTAAGCTTTTTCAGATTCATATCTCGAGAGGTTGTGATGATACGTGAAAAAGGAGTAATTGCATCCACGTAATCATCCCAAACCAAAATTTTATTAAAGTGTGATAGATGCCATTTTAAAGCACTGCCAGCTAAATACTGTGGTATAGATCGACTTTTTTGACGAGAATTATAGCGAATAATATCACTTTTTAAAGACAGAATTGCTAGTCAATCAGATATATTTTCTAGTGGTTCACCTGAGAAAGTTGGAATGCTATCAATAATTTTACTGTATCGATAATCTTCCATATTAGTGACAGAACCATGTAAGTCCAAGTTATGAGCAGATGATGTATATTTTAATGTTGATGGAGAGCGCGAGGGTGCTTCGTGACGTGCGTTCCTAGCTTCTACTTGTATGGCGGCAGGGACTTGAGCTCTAGCTAGTTCATCAGCAAGCATACACTACTAGTATAATCAGACGAAATCAGTTGTAATGGATCGATCTACTGTTCAGTGGCACAGCAGAACTGGCAGTGCACCTTTGATAATTGCTCCTCTATCACTCTTACTTCCTTCTTTATTATTTTCAATCCCAACATCCAAAATTAAAAAAAATAAGAACACAAAAATAAAAGGATGTCTATCAGGAAAACACATTGTCTTTATCTCTTCGAAATATCATTTTTCCCTTCCATGCTGTTACATGCGGATGATGTATTTTTCTCTTAGAGATGGATGAGTCGAGGAGACGATGCATGACAACAAAAGACAAGAAAAGAAAAGAGATAGAAAATTTTTTAAGTGGCTTAAGAAAAGACAAAGCAGAACAATACTGAACATGTATCATGGCCATTAACCGTGACATTCAGGTATTTGTTTTGACGGCATCGAAGAGCTCTTCAATGTCGTCATTACCATGAAAAGGTTCAAGCAGCTAGACGTCTTTAGCAAGGATTTGTGTCGAAAATTATGTCAACATTTTTAGACACAGCCCTACTTTCTTTTCTTCTTGTTGATGTTGGAGAAAATACGAGACGTCTCATTAGGATCGTGTAGACGCAGTAGCACTTATTCATTCGAGAAGACGGAGATTGAGGACTTCTGTCAATCGTGTGAGAGAAGCGCTACTTTTTTAGCCAGAAGTGATGTAGCGAAAGAAGATACTAGGTACGCGATGTGTTTGTTCCAAGCTCCAAGAATGTAGAAGGAATGATTAAAATACAGAGGAATTGCATCGAAAACAAGAAAAGAAACTGTATGTAGATGATGGCACCTACTGATAAGAGAGAAATGAAGAGAAGACATGATGAATAAGCACTTGCACTGTTGGTTCACAGAAAATAAGATCTCACAAGCGATCATGAGGAAAAGATTGAAAGTTTACAGCAAAGTTTTCGTTCGATGACCACTTTTTTCTAAATTCTGCGTCGGTTTTCTACCGGTATTTCGCAGATCAAAGACTTGTCAATTAGACGATCCAGTTAGGTCGAAAGTCCAAAACGACTGCTCCAGGACGGTTTGAATTTCCTAAACTGTTTTTACCTCCATACTACCGTAAGCATCTTTCTCGTTACCCACTAGGATATCTCACAATCGCTCGATAAAGAAATTTGAAAGGCCTCGCGCGAAAAATATAGTACATTTGTGTTTTTTCCACTTCTTCCTTTGTATTTTCCTGCCTTTTAAAGCTATCTTAATAATATTTCTTTAAAAAATGTAAATATTCTTGAATTAATAATAGCTGCAAATTAGTTCATTGTTATTAATCCGTTATCTTTATCAATGTGTCACTTCTTTTTACCTAGATTTCCGTCTTTCGTCACATTTATCGCTAAATAGAAATACTCATATTAGCATATATCACCTCTGACACCGATAACTCCTTTGACGATTCCAGTATGATAAGCAGCACAAGTAATCAGTTCTTATGAAATTGGCGATTATCTAGCACATGCTTCTTCCTTATATTTTAGTGTACACTAGAGTTCGACTGATCCTTATAACAATTATAGTTGTTTCCATAATTATTTTAGTATCCTTCCCTGACTGGCACCGATTACAATACTTGAACAAGTCAAAATGCTGGAAAGCCGCTTCTGGTCCAGTGAGTTCCCACTGGATTACGGAATTAAAACAACATGAGCGCCAGATCTTTTCTCAAAATGGTGAAGATGGTGTGCTCCTTTGGATCTTCGCCAATATCGGTACGATTCATCATCCACCCCGTTTTGTCGAGTTCGGTGTTCAAAATGGCCAACAATGCAACACACGTTTTCTTCGTGAACATCTTGGATGGCAAGGTCTAATGATGGATGGTGGTCATAACATTTCCTCTATTAACCTTCATCGTGAGATGATTTCTTCAAAAAATATTAATGACTTGCTCGCAAAATATGGAACTCAAGCCGTCATTGATCTTCTTTCTATTGATATAGAGTAAGATGTCCTCCTTGTATAAAAGTGTAATCATCTGTGTCCTATAGTTTCGACGATTACTTTGTTTGGAAGTCAATACTGCAAGCGAACCGATTCCATGCTCGTGTAGTAGTTATTGAATTTAATTATGAGATTCTACCCAACGAAAATCGAGTTGTCAATCCTAATCAAGATTCACGCCGATGGACGGGTACTTCATTCTATGGAGCTGGAATTCTAGCCTTAGCAGCACTTGGGCGTGCTCATGGATATACACTTGTGTACGGAGAACAGAATGGTGTAAACTTATTTTTTGTTCAAACATGTTTGCTTGCTCAACAAGGAGTACTTAATAATGTACCATCCGTAGAGCAACTACATGTATCGACACCTGTTGGTAAGTGGAAGCATCCACCCGAAAGAGACAAGTCACGAGCTTGGATATGGAATGATACTATTTGGAACTAGTTATTCAGTGAATATTCGCGAAGAAACTTAACCACATTCATAATACAGACCATTTTTACCTAGACATGACAATGCTTCAGAAAATGTGCGTTACGGTTCTCACCAATTCGATTGAGGCGAAAATTTTAATTTTCGATTTTTCTATATTAAAAGAAAGTCTGTAGTCTGAAATCTCTAAATCCAAAGTCCCAAATATTTTGAAAATGTCGATGAAAAATGCAGTCAATCAAGTATCATTCCGGACTTCATTTTACAAAAAAAAATCAATTTTTTTCTCACTTTTCACAGCTATTCCGTATTTTAATACTTTCTCTCACACACCTCTATTGTTGTGGGTATACGTACGGATTAGGTGCGGGCATGGGTGAGTGTCTGAGTGTTGCCGTCTAATGAAATATGCATCGACAGCCACACCCACATCCAGACCCTCAAAAACATGGTTTTTATATGCTTTTTCATAATAAACTTATAATACTCATATAACAAAGAATCGTACCTTTCAAACCATCGACTATATTTTTGAAAGTTTTCGAATGAAGATCTAATATCTGCAATCGAAAATAGCATAACCTCTTTTTAATGACAATGAATTTTTTTTCTTTATCAAACATGCACGACAGGTTATAGAAAATTGACCTGGGGTGGTTGTGAGTAAGACCATACCTATACATTTTTGCTCTTGTATACCTAGACCCAGACTCACACCCCATCTTGCACGACAGTCTCGGTCAATTTTCCGTTTTTTGCAAACAATGGTTGTTAATCGAAAAATTGAAATAACTTCCACGTAACCGAAAATTTCAGACTAAATTTTATTCGGATTTTAAAGATCTAAGTGGGAATAAATCTGTCTTGCACCATACCTTGTATTGATTTCTGTGTTGAGAGTAACGAGATTCACTCGTATGCATTGACATGTTTTTGTTTGTTTTAATGCTTTGTACAAAAAGGATCATAACAGATGAGGAGAGACGAATTTCAAAATTCTTTTCTATGAAAAACTAATTACAGATGTCAAATTTTATGAACCCCGTCCCACTTTCTTTCTCTTTTTAACTTTCGCCGTGGCGAGTTTATAGCAACTCTCTGAGAAGGCACAAACCGTCTATAAGTGTGCCGGAAATTCACTCTGTTTTGACTTATCGGAGTGAAAGTTTTGCCGACAATGTCTCTCACTTGAGTAAATCATATTTGCCAATGTCAGCCCCGATAGGCCATTGTGGGTGGAAAATCTACTGTGAAACGCAGGGTCCTTAAGAGGCTGCATTGTTTATTATATTTTACTTTTACGAAAGTTTTCAAGTATCTGATCTCTTTGCATTTAGTTATGGTTGAAAATCATTGATTTGCTGGAATATAGTTTAAAAAACCTCGTGTTGGCATGCGCTAGAATACGAAAATCTAGAATACGATAGGGTATAGGATAAACAATTCAAAGATTAGGGTAGGATTAGAATATATAAACCATAGGGTAGGGTGGAGCTACGATGCTAAACTTTAAGGTAGAGCTAGAATAGCAAAAAACATCACCTTATAGGACTGTATTTCTAATATTTGATGTTTTCTCCGAATTCTATCTGTTGAAGTCACTGTGTTTACTTTCAACCATATTTATGATCAATTACATAGTTGGCTTCATTTGCAGTATATTGTTGTTTCTGTAAACTGCAACTAAAATACTAAGTGTGTGGTTGTGGATGTAAGTCCAGATCAAGTGAAGATCCACACCCTATGAGGTCAGCTGTCTGATTTTTGACCTGAATAGTTATGTCATTGAAATAAAGTGATTTAATTTTCAGAACAAAGCCTACATTATTCTTTCTATTGTAATAAAGAGAAAAAGAAAATCTGTTTTGATCTAATGCACAATAGCAATATTGTAACTGAATTACGTAGTTTAGTTAAGAATTTTTCAAATGATCCATTGAACAGTAGCAGATCTAATTTTTTCATCTATTTATGTAGTTTCGAATGATGTTAAACATCTTTTTCTTTGATTTTTATTTTTTTTAAATTTCTGTTTGTGGCGAATTTCATGATTTGATTCTTCCTAGAAAATAAGCATCAAATAATATTCATAAAAATAAAAAATACTCCTAAATATAACTCGGAGACTTTTTTTCGAATGAATTGTCAGTAAGCGCTAGAATGAATCGTGATATTTCAAGAACAAAAATTTATGGGATATTGTGTTTTTGTTTCAAGAATCGGCAATCGTAGCTTCGTAACGCATTTCATAGTCGAGCGAAAGTTGAATGCCATCTAGTTAACAATTGTTGTAATCGCTTATTTGAGATCTACGATGAAGCACTTAATAACATGATCAATCAAATTAATTATTTCCTGAACAAATGATTGAGAAAATTAACTCAAATACATGAACACAATACATAGCTACAGAAGGTAAACAAAGAGCAAAGATTGTGTTAAGATTGGTTAATGAATTATTTATTATTTAAATCTTCGCTCAAGATGGTAATAGAAAATTTGGAGATGCACGATCAGATCATTTCTACAGAAGTTGTTCAGAGGTCTTATACTTAAGAAAACTGGAAACCATTTTCATCTTCAAAAATTCTTGTTTGAGAGCAAAATTCTCTATACAAAGCACTAGTTGGAGTCTTATTACTGTTTACAGCAGTTGAAAAAAAAGTGAAAATAAGCCTGATCAAATATTTTTGGAGTCATCGAAACAATGTTCTTACTTTTTAAAAACTCATAATTGTCAAATAAATTCTGTTTTATTGAAGCAAAATTCACTTTTATTACAAAATATTTCGGAAAAAAAAGAAATCGTGTACAATTCCATAATCTTTTCTTATACTTAGGGTATACCAAAAGTTCTGATCACAGTTTTTAAAATTTAATAAAGCA